TTTGCACCAGGGACCTAGAAGCGAAAGGCTCCACGTCTCCACACCAGTCCCTCGCTCGTTTTTAATTCAAGAGGAGACGAAACAAGTGTTCCAGTTATCCCAGGCCAAACTGCCTGGGAGGTGGAGCGGCAAGCTCTGAAGGTGGATGGGAGGGGTCGGAGCCTTTTTGGCCTGAATGCTCTGTGAGCCCACCCATGGTGAAGCATGATCTGAATACAAGATGATTGCAGCACGATTCTCCTTTCCCCTAGTAAGCCATTAACCTTTCAGATGACAGCCCTGCAATCGGAATGACTGAACGATTCTCAGGGTCAGCGCGGAGCTATGTTCTCAAAACCTGACAGCAACATGCAAAAGTTGTGACTGAATCGCGGTCTCGCTGAGAGTAAGATTAAACGCGTGACACATCTTTTGCAATCAAAGTGTTCCATTTCCCAAAGTATCTGCCACAGATTGATAACATCCACGCAAAAAGTTAAGTGCAATTATGTCTGTCATTGTAAAACACACTTCAGCAGCACTGAGTGACATCTTGCTGGAAGCTGACAAATTGTTAGAAGATTGTTTGAATGACTGTGGTGGAGGCTCCTCCACCAGCACCTTGGGAAGGAACTCGGAAGGCACTTGCTAACCAAGAAACCACACACACGCAGGGAACGTACAGCCGATACACCGGCCTCAGCAAGCAAGATGGCTTTAGGGGAGCTCTGCCTGTGCTGGCAGGAAGTCAGAGCTCTTCCCAGAAAAGCTAAGGTTAGATTTATGGAGAGCACAAGAGCAAGGTAGAAAGCTGAACTCATACACAATTGCTAGGCAGAACTGCAGGCTGGGGCAAACTTGTAATGAAGCTTTCGCTAGTGCGTATTCCCTAAACACCAAACATGTGACCCTGACACTCTCCGGCACACATGGGCAGTGAGCCCCATGCCGTTCACACACAGCAACTAAACTGATGTCCTCAAAAGGCAAGGCTGAAATATTTATCATTAGCACCTGCTTTTGGGAAACCCCCTCCCCCAAGCGCCCTAAGGTGCAGCGATCACTGTGCTGTGTTAGCACCAACTTATACAAGAAACATTACTCACACCGACCCTCCCAACAGAGCCTCATTTAATTACTGAGTGCCCGGCAGTGCCCAGCAAACACACCTAGGAAAGCAGTGTAAAGCTCCATGTGCAACATTCTGCTACAGGCGACTCCAGTCAGTGGAATGGATCTTTTAACACTCGCTTCTGGGATGAGACACGGCAGGTGTATTTCTCCACGCTGCCCACAGCACAAAATACAGGGAGAAAAACCCTGGGGTGACTTGACACCGTGTCATCCTACACTGCACAATGGCAGCTCATCAGGTCGCACTCCACAGCGCAACGTCTCAGCCTCATTGGCATATGAGGGCCTGATCCAGGAGCCCAGAAGCCCGGACGCTTGTAACGGGGAATACCAAGGACAAGAGAGCCAAAGCGACATGAACATCCCCGCAAGAGGAAACAAGCAATCCTTCCCCCTCCGTGCTGGCAGGAGGAATTGTGCTCAGCTCTTTGCCTCTTTCTGCTCCGCAGTTCTGAACAGATGCTCCATTGAAATCAATGGTGTATTACCCCATAGTCGGAAGAGGGGTGTATCCTGCATGTAGCAAGCATGCTAGCAAACAGGGACATCCTTAAAGAAGAGCACATAGGTTCATTTCCACTGCAGGCATCACTTTTTGAGAAACCCAGGATGCTGCCAGCCAGGCATTAAATACAAGCGCATGAGAAGACAGAGATTCCTGAACGGTCTTTCATGAGACTGAGACTAATGTACTTTGGTACAGATTTCTTCTCTCTCTCTCTCAAAAAGGGCAGGCACAAGCATAGTGTGAAGCCCACATACCCGAGTCACTGGCCAACTCTATCTGAGGACATTCGAGGGCAGACGATTTAGCAAAAGCTTTTGTTCATTTGATATTGGTACAGAACTGGCGACGGAGTTCCAAGTTCCCTACAAACCTTCGTGCAAGAGTCCAGGGACTCCTTAACCCTCTCCCACTTTACCAGGAGGGGACAGGGAAGTGCCGATGCTGGGACTAAGCAGAGCCCGGAGTGCGAATGGCCTGAACAGAACCTCAGCTGGACGAAGCAGCAATGCTGACGCACAGTGAGGTGCTGAGTCGAGTCTCTCGCAGAGCAGCAAAGCATGTGTGATGGAACTCTGACGCGCCAGCATCACGAGAATCGATAATTAAGTGTCTGCTGAACCTGCCCGGCACAGAAATGAAAACCGATGGATTAAGAAGCTCTGCAGTAACACACCGGGGTTCTGTTGTCTATCTGTACGTAGTAGTGTTAGCAAGCGGTCCGAAGCACTGAGGATACACTGCATATTGTCCTGATTTTAAAGGTATTTTATAAAAACGAGTCAGAAACTGAAGAGAATCCCTTCAAATATCTGACCAACCTAACAGCTAAATAGCACTAGTTGTGTATTGTGCTGTTCGGTGATCCTGTCTTGGAATAAAATGGCAAACTGGCTGCAAGTGTGTTCTCTTATCTCTATGGTCATGTTAAAATAAAAAGTTACTTGTGACTATAATCTTCCATGGACATTAAGCTTGAATAAATTACTACCCTGTTGATAAAGTGTTAAAACAGCTTTTCAAGTAACATATGTTTCCTCTAATAAGAAATGTTTGCAAGGAGCATCTTTATATACATTTCTATTTCTAAAAAATATATTGGATAATAAATAATCAATGTAAAAAAACCCAGACATGAATAGATGCCTTGAATGATTGGGCTGTTTTTATTCCAGTGTAAAAGTTACCTGTAAATCATACATGGTGCATGAGGGTAGAGCCAGCTACAGACAGGTGGTTTTTACTAGGAGGCATTAATGTAACATTCAATTATTCCACTGCATACTGGCTGTTTTAACTCAGCCAAATTAGAATACATTTTATATTGACTATTTTGACATTTGTTTTATTTGGCGAGTAAAACAAAACTGATCCAATTTCCTTGCAGCCATTGTAAACCATAAACTGTACAACAAGAGGTTATAAAATATATAAGCCTTGTAAACACTTCTTTTCAGACTGTCGCTGATGCTCTGAGCTCCAATTCTGGCCCTGTTCCCAACAGCTCTGGAGCCATTCTGCAGCCCTCCCTTCTCAGTCCTACAGTGACCCTTCCACACTTCGTGATTAAGGACAGCCACTGACATTCTCTTGCTAAGATAATTTTTCTCTTTACCATGGAAATTTGCCTGCACATTTCTCATGGACAGAAAATGAAGACATCTACTGTAAAGACAAGACGTCTCGCTTTGATCTCGCAGGGTCTTTGTTATTTATGCAGCTTGTGCCTAGTGCAATTTGGAAACAATCGAATGGCTCCAGATAAAACAATCTGAGAACTCCAGCAGGGCTCCTGTTTCTTATCTCATTTCTAATATCCCCACCATGAGGCTCTAACGGCTCTGAATGGTGCAACCTGGGATCTGCAGCAAGGACCCCTCCCAGACAGCACAAGAGAAGAGATCTAGCACAACTTTCAGTGAAGTGACTTGTCAAAAATAAACCACAGAAGATGGTTGAGAAGTCACCACAATACACTAGGTTATAAGTACACTTAAGGGCATGGGTGCATGCCTGGACCCAGATACCAGCCTTCACCAGGATAAAATTACCACATAGCCCAGTTAAAAGCCTTTTTCAGGCCATTTTAAGACTGCCACTCTTTAAAATGCACAGAAAAGCAAAATAACCAAGGCTATGGGTAGCACCTTGTAGCCAGACAATACACTGAACTTTGGACAATTTACAGTCTCCATGAAATTCCCACCTGCCAATCTCCTTAGAAATATAAATCCCAGGCATTTCCTTTCATATGCTAGGTGTATTTGCAATACACTGAATGTGCTAGCAAAACACTGACACTCCAAAATATGTAAAAACCCACCGAGAACACGTTTCCCAATTGGGGTTGCCTGGGCTATGAGTTCAGAGCAACTCTCTCACCATTGCATGCAGTGCTGCATTTTCATATCAAATGCCAATAATATAAAAATCATTCATTTCATTCTCTGCGTGCGGGGTTGTTTAAAAACACCACCACTGGGCTTTGTGCAGGAAAATGTGGTAAATAATTGTAAGCTATAATTATACTCCTGTTCCTCTGACATATAAAAGACACACACACACTTGACACACAGTACACTGCAAGAGCAAACCCATGACGTTCGCAGCGGCTCTATGGCCCTGCTGTTGCAGTTCCTTGTGTGATAGTGGGCGGCTGAGTCTGTGCGCACAATGAACGGCAGCAGTGGGGCCTAAAATCACAGGTTCGGACACGACAAAGAAAAGCAAACCTCAGGCTTCAGTTCTGGGGATTAGGAAAAAAGTTGTTCCCCACTCTTATATAACAAGCCTGCACAATCCACCAAGGGCCTGAATGCTCCCTCCTACCCTTGCCCCACTTTCCCTGTGAGGATAGCAGTCTAGCTAGCCCACTGGCATGCCCCAGAAAGGAGACTCCTAGGCACTCACGTGAGACCAAAGATGCTTTATATTCAGTTAAAAACAAAGAACCGGGGCACCTGTGAGCAGCTCTAGGATAGGGTTACGGCTTGCTGGGCGCTGACAGGGGCTCTTTGGTATACGGGACACAAGAGACAGGCAGCTTCCTGCTTGGAACTGTTTACACTCTGACCCAGGCCGGCAGGCTAAACAGGACCACCGGGCAGCCCTCAGTGAATGTATTTTTGTGGTTGTTCTGTCAGCTTTGCTACCTTCTCATCCCCATTCCAGCCATGTGCCATCTATGCATGACATCCGCACAGCTTTCTGGGGACTAGCATGTATTCCCCCATTATAGCAGGGTGGACCGTGTAATAATTTATACTGGGACAGTGCCCACTAGTCACAGTCCCACTGGCTTGAGTGTTCAGCTAAAATACGCAGCATGGCATGCCCAAGCAGAAGAGAACCATAGAAAACACTGACAGGTGCCAGAACCTACCTCGGCAGGTTAGGAGCTGGTGTTGAAGCTGGTACTTGGGAAGAAGGTGTCCCGGGTTGCGAGGAGTCATGGTTTCGTGGAACCCTGCCCATTCGGTACCAAATACCCATATTGTTAAGTTCCCTTTGTAAGTAACAGAGAAATCATTAATGTTATTAGCAAATACAGCATGCACACATGATATCAAACATTGGCAAGTTTCACCAAGAAACATCTTGTGTAATAAGAACCAGGCTAATTGCCACAGAGGATCAATTAATTCTCACACCAAGCAGAATAATACTTTGCACTTATATAGTACATTCCCTTCAGTGATCTCAGAGCTTTTTCACGAACATTAACACTTGCAAACTCCCACTTAATTCCTGTAGGAAATTACAGTGCGTGGGTTTGGTACATGCTGCGGTATGGGAACGTCCTCTGGATGAAGGGCTGCTTACCCTATGAACGTGTACTGTGGAGGGGCCTGCTTAGATCTGCCCAGGATTCGGATATCACAAATAGCAGCCTCCGTAGAATCTCGAGGGATGAATTTGATGCAGAGCCTCTTCTTTCTGAAAGCTATTTCTTCTGTGAAAGGAAACCAGGATTAGAGGCTGGTTTTTATGCATGACCAGGGTATAAAAGTTATTTATTGCATCTTCAGCTCTTATGCAGATAGTTATGGCAGGAATAGGAGGTGGACAGCAAATAAGTGTGCAAAGCCAAGCACTGACTGAATTTTCTAACACTAGTCCTTTTGTGTGGCATGCAAGATTTGTTATTCAGCAGTACTTCTCTCCACACTATCATCTACAGAGAAGATTAGATACTACATACCACAAAGAATTACAGCCTCTGTAATAGAATTTGTCAGGCTGTTGTTTCCATGTCCTATATCTCTGATATCATTTACTTCACTTCTCTCCTGGTAGCATTCACCACACCAGCCTGGAGAGCAATCACTGTGTTTGTAACACATATGAAAGTCACCAGCATCATTGGTCAACCCAGGATCAAGATTTTCTTCACATGACCATTCGTGCATGGCAGCAAATTAAATTCTAGTAAGTGCCCCCTACAGCAGGGCTCAAATTGGGAGCATTCAGCAAAATGCTGCCACTTGGTGAGACTAGGGAGGTGGAGATGGAAGAGAGACTGGACCCCAGAGGGTGGCACAGAAGAGGTGCATGCATTCAGATTCAGATCTCCTCAGGAACACCTCACGCAAACGCATCCGAGACCCCATCTACGCTGGGCTCTTTGCACCAGTGTAGTTCTTGTAATGGTGCAACCCCCCAACGTAGATATGCTGCAATAGTACAATTTACCCCCGGAAGTTACCAGGGTAAATTGTCCTGGCATAAACCCCATTTTGCATTCATGCAGTGTATCTGTAATGGAAATTTGCCTGGTGTGGCTACACCAGTGTATATTTCCCTAGTCTAGACAAACTCTAAGGTCTAATTGTATCAGAAGCTTCAGTCTTAAAGAATTGAGTTTATGGAAATGCATGCTCACTCTCCCAGCTGTGGTTCATTTTGCTACCATATGCTGGCCCTACTAATCTCTGGAGGTCCCTGTACATTTCTCTGCCCTTGCTGTTGTTTGTAACTCCTTCCACTTTAGTATAATCTCTGAATCTCATTAGCCGCTTTAGCCCTATTCTAGCCTAGCAAAATATTTAATAAAACAGGATTTCACAGGCCTGCTGCACTCCTAGCCAAACCCATCTCAAGCCACTTCCTTCCTAGTGTTTGGCCATTGGAAGCACCATACTAATCTGCGTCCCAGAGCTGTACAGCCACTGCAGGGTGTGCCCCTGGAGGGTATAAGGCACACCATTCAATACACCACAGCCAGCATCTTTAAAGAAACTTAGCCTGATTTAAGTGGCCACAGCTCCCAGTTAAGTCCGATGGATTTGTGGGTCCTCAGCTACTCTGAAAATCAGGCCACTTTCAGTTAGGTGCCTAAAGATGGATTTTAGAAGCCTGGCTTTTGACTCCCACATTTCTACACTTTGCTGAGATGGCTAGGGAGCAGTACGTTCAGTGCGTTGTGTTATTAGCCCAGGAGACTACAAATGGAAACACGTAGCCACAAATTTTACTTTGAACAAAATGAGAGGCCCCTGTTACTTTACTTGCAGAATATCACAAAGCTCATTTTATTGGCTTGTCTGCCAGGCTCTTTCACACTTTGCTAAATTCCTCAATCTGTGGCAAACTCAGCGACGGAGCTAGAACCGCTAATTACACGTGCTCATGGAGGCAGGGAAAATGCACCACTTTATTTATACAAACAGCGCATGGAGGGCAGCAGAATACACTGTAAATGAATCATGCAGTCCTCTCCCCCTCAGCCACATGTTACGTGACTGTGATTTCGTTTGAAGTTATTCTCCATCCTCAACCCCGGGGTGTTTCCTTGATAAGCGATTGGCTCTACCCTTGCTCCACATGTGCTCCGGAGCTCTCGGGGGCGGTGGCACTGGGAAGTCAGTCATGGGTTACAGAACCTTTTCCTTCTTGGTCACTCATACAAATCAACCCCAGGCTGGCAGTGACTGAACAACCAGCCCCATGTGCTGCAGATCCAGGTGAATTATTCACTGTGCCCCTCCCTTTCAATTTACAAACTGGTCTGGATTTCATTACTGGCAAAAAGGACCTGCAAGTATGTGCACTGGCAAAGTGACTGGAGCCCCTTCCCACAAGCCCAGCCACTGGCCTGAGGGTGGTTTGCAGAGCTGGTGCACAGACCCCTTCTGTAGCATGCAGGGGGTGCAGCAGTTGGGCTTACTTGGTGCAGAGGGCTTGGGGGCTGAGTGGAGTTTTCTCCCCCAGATTAGGTAGTTATCTGGAAAGCTGCTTTTCCCTTGCAGGAATGAAGGGGAGGATTTTCTGGGCATTCTCCTTCCAATTCATCTTGGCAATGATGAGAGAGGCTCATGTGGATCCCAGCTCCCCAGTGCATGGGCACCACTTTGCTCATATCTGAGTGCTATAAGCACCAGGCACAGAGCTCAATACCACACTTCTCAGCGGAAAAAGGTTAACTGCTCCCAGAGAACCCTCCCCTTCAAAGCACCAGGGGGAACGAGGGGCTGATAAGAGAGGTGGGGCAGTGGCCCACTAGCCATCTGGATACCTGGTGTCATCCCTTGTGTATCTAGGAGATCTAACACATTAGGAATCGTTAATGAAAGCGAGTGAGATAAGGACTATTACACAGCTGCATGCCCCAGGACACATGCCGGGGAATAATTCAAAGAGCCCTTTTTAAGTGACTAACCCAGCTTTTGATGTTTAAGTTTGACTCATCACAAAAGGTTCCTTTACAACACTACTCAGAAGAGACTCACCTTTTCCCAGCAGCTGAGCTTGTTTAACAGGTAACCAAAAGAGAGGTTCTGCCAGGTCTTTAAAAGCAGCTCTCTCCTGCCAGCGTGCCCGTGGATCATCATCTGACCCGATGGCATTGACCTGCCAGGGAAGTCTGCAGCAGGGTCTGGTGCTCTGCCCCAGGCGAAATCGTCTATTCCAGCTTCACTGGGGTCACCAGGTGGAGACGTGGGGCAGGGAGGCTGGGAGCCTGCTGAGCACCAGCTCATGACCAGCATTACCACACTGCCTTTGGCCAGACACAAGATGCCTTTGGGGCCTCACCTGCCCATGCAAAGGGAAGGAGCAAGATCCACCCCCGCTGGAAGGTGCAACGCTCCTGTGGGCAGTCAAGGCAGCGGCACTGAAAAGCCTACAGCACATTTCTGCACAGCACAACATGGGCCCAGGCTCAATCTCACATGGGAACAAAATGCCTGGCACCATCCAGAAACATGCGCACGCAACAATGCTGCCTGCTCTTGCCCCCTCAGCCGCTGCTGGAGCTGTGCATGGGGCGTGCATGAGCGAGCATGGAGCCCGCTGCTCACAAAACCCAGCATTGTGAAAACACACACTTACGTGTATCGACTGTCTCCTGGATGGGGATGAAGCCCACAGGAAGCGTGTCCTTGATATCAATTAGTTTCATGTCGACCAGGACATTGCCTAAATGGCTCTTTAGAGAGAGGAGAAAAACAGGTGAGTGCGACTCTTAATAATTCAGGTTCTTCTTGTCTTGCTGATTTGACTTGAAGCTCCCTGTTAAGCAGAGTAGTTTAGCAGAGAGGGCAACTGAGGAATGAGTAGCAGGTACCAGGCTAACAACTCAGACCGAAGGCTACGATTTTGTCAGAGAGATGATAGAAATCGTGAATTTGAATCTCGGAAATGGCTGTCAAATCACACGTGATTCAGCCCCCAAACTGAGTCGTGGTGCCACCTAGCGCACGGGGTCACAGCACACTCAGGTTTGGCCCATTCACCAGGCTCTATCGACGGAGGTGAGTGGTGCTGTAACTCCAGGTACCACGTCACAGTGCCTAGAGTGGGGAGCCGGGCTCAGCCCTGCAGGACAGGAGCCGCCCACTGCACAGTGAGTGGGCTTGCTCTCCAACCCCGCCCTCCCGTTCTGTGATTTACCTGTCGTGAAATTTACGAAAAAATGTCTGTGCCAAAATTGTAGCTTTACTCCTGATTGCCTACTTACAGCATGTACACAGCCCACAAAGGGTCACCAGCTAAGAGATTACAGGGTTTTCTGTCACGCCCATCACTGTAATCCCTTAGCACCCTGGAAACAGAGACCGCACTAGTCTACCGGAAAATCCCTGGTCCCTACCCAGTGAGCTAAAGGAGAATCACCATCGTCCAGTGAACTGTAAGCCTACAAGCCCTATGCATGGTCCAGCTGCGAAAGCCACATGATGTTTATATGGTCACCGTGGTGGGAAATGCCAAGGAAAGACTCTAATGTAGACACAGCCGAAGTTATTACATGCTTCTGCTAATTAATATTGAATACATACGGTGCTAGCTCCAAACGCTCACGCCATTTGGAATGATAAATTTCATTTGGAATCCATATGAATTCTGAACCAGTGCCTTGTCCTATTAATCAAGGTTTGAAGAGCTAAAAAACAATTTAGTATGACAGCCTCCACAATTGTTTAGAGACTTCATTTCCTTTGCAGTTCCCATTAAAGCCAATATTCTGCCAATATTCTGGATTCACACGTGGAAGAAAAACAAACCCTCTTTCGTTGTCACGTGGCTTTTATGAACAGAAATGCAAAAAGCAATTAAAATGTCATTCTAAGCTATGAGACCCCGTCAGTGTATTTTATCATTACTTCCTGCAAACTGCCAGGCACAGTTTTTATCTGGGCAAGCAAAATATTTCAGACAAACCACTGCTTTCTGATTACTGTGCGTATATGAATTGGGAGGCTTTGAAATAAGAGCAGGTTGATTAGGGGCTTCATACCTTCTGAACAGTTTTTTTTTTAACTTTACAATTCCATAGCAATACAGTGCAATCTAAATACTACACAGTGGTGATGCTGAAAGTGAGCAGTGCTGATTTTCTAAAATCTGAACGTGTCAGTTAACATTTTGTTTAGGCACAGTGACTGGTAGATAAAACAGTCTTTGCTAATGCATCTTTCATGTTGTATTATTCCTACTGTCTGTCTCTTTTACACTAACATTCAATGTCAGTTAAACTGATGATTCCTCTGCCACATCAATACCAGATAGGCAGAAGAAAAAAAAACATACTAAGTTTATCAACTATTGAAACGGCTGGAGTCAGTGCTGATCCAATGGAGTGTATATATGAGAGTGCAGCAAACAATGTACTCAGGTAAAAGTGTTAAAGAACCCACTGTCCCCAACACTTAAACACCAACACATGGAAAACGTCAACATGTTGGGAAATTAAAAATTCTCTCCAAGATTCTTTACACAGTTGAGAATGATGCTCCCAATAAACGACATCACAAATTAGCCCTACAGTGAAACTCAAAGACTTAACTAGGTTCGTTCTGATAACTAAACCCGTGACAAGGTGGGTGAGGTAATATCTTCTATTAGACTAACTTACGCTGCTGAGAGAGGCAAGCTTTCGAGCTCGAAAGTTTGTTTCTCTCCCCAACCAAAGTTGGTCCAACAAAAGATATTACCTCACTCACCTTGAGCCTCTAATATCCTGGGACCGACATGGCTACAACACTGCACCCAACGAAACCAGTGTCATTCGTGTCAAAATAACGTGGCTACGGTTACACTAGAGAGCTTACAGCGAGGCCGGGGGCTGGAGGTTAGTGGATCCTTTGCTTTTCAAGTCAAGATCCAGGATCAGCCTCCTATTATTAATTATTATTATTATTTATTTGTTTGCTAGCACCTCGGAGTCTAAATTCTGGACTAGGATCCCACTGTGCTACTGGGGGCTGCCTTTCTCTATCTCTGTTATCAGCAAAAACCCTGAAAACTAAATCAATATTGACATTCAAACCACGGAGAGCAGCAGAAGTACCTCCTATACAGAGCGCTCTCACTGCACTTGGAAAGCAAAATCAAATCTTTTTCTCCAGAAAATATAAAGTTTGTAGATTATTCTCATCTGACAAATACAAACAGCCAGTAAAGGCATCAGATCATGGGCTTTCCCAGCCTAACAGCTCCTTACCCAAGTGACAGTGTAGACCACGAACAACCAAGACTGGCTGGATTCCATTGGAGAGGCACACCAGACAGCTGCTGCCTGCAGACTGTGAACAAAGTCTGACTATCCGTATTGGAAGATGTGACTCCAGGGCAGACACACACAGCTACTGAAAACCCTGGGTGAGTGCTAAAGAACTGGAGTCGGACAGAGAAGGGTGAAGAGGTGAGTCCCCCAGGGAAAATGGGGATGATGCTCTGGACCAGGAGAGCGCTCAGCCTTGTGGGATTCAATTCTTACACTTGCTTTCCTTACGTTGTCAGTGTTAGCATTGCATTGCTAGCACGGGCTGCTCCATTGCGGGTGTGCTAGATGCTAGTGCAAGAGCAGGGATGAAACAAACATTCCTGGGATCTTTTTTTCCATTTTGTTGATTGCAAATCTTTCAGAGAGCTGCTTTCCCCACGAACAAACAGCTGATTAAGAGAACAAACACACAGCAACGATCCCATCAGTGTAGCTTGGCTACAGACTCACCTGGACTTGCTGAAAAACCTGCTTGAATTATCCTGGCTCCCCAAACCGAAACAGTTTAGGAACAAGAACGCGCCAAGCAAATTGTTCAGTCACTCGGCAAATGGACTTACATTTTCTTTCGAAAACGATCTTGTGAAGCACAGGTATCTTGTGACCTTGGATTTAAATAAGCCATCTTTCCAGAGGTCAGCATCCAAGCCATCTGCTGTTTGTGCAACCTGGAAAGATGAGACAGAGGGAGAGACGGGACATCTGAGCCAAGATACAGTTAATGTATGTGCAGTACATCTTCCTCGTACCTATTCTCATTAATGCTGGCCCGAATTCTCTCAGCATCTCATTAGTTCATTTCACAAGGTAAAGTGGAGGGATAAAAAAAAGCCCCAACTTCTAAGAATATTGTCTCGAGGGAGTCAGTTGATTAAAGAATCCCTGACAAAAACTATTCTAATAAGGAAATGGCAGCTTTGGAAAGTCAGCACATTACGACACTCGGTACCATTCCATCACCAGGGGCACAGCATCTGCAAACATGGAAAGAGGGCTACATTTCAGGGATACAGGAAATTGCCCTCCAAGAGGTGCCCCAGCTCCAGTAGTTGGGCAGGAGCCTGCCTGAATGGTACGCTCACATGCCCAGCAAGTGGGGCCGGGTGGAACCAGTGAACAGTTGTGCAAATGTTTTTCACCAAGTTCAAAAAGCACCTTATGCCCAGAACATCAGTTCTAAGGAGCGCTGCAAGTTGTGATAGTTCACAAAGGTCACAGTCACCTTTCTCCAACAGAAAGACTCACTGCAATAGTACCAGAATCGCTGCACTTGGTTCACACACTCAGAAGAGTTAACCAGAGACTCAGCAGTGCCTGTTTGAGAGGGAAATTCCCCCTTTCCCTTCAAAGTCCCTTCGCTCCAGCTGCAGAGATGGCTGTGTATGCGGAGGTAGCACCAGTGTCTCTGGAGCTAATGTACTGGGTATGTCTCCTGTCTCCTCTGAGGCCAGCGGCTCAGAGGAATTCTCAGCCCCCACTAATCCAGGGCCTACTCCATGTTCCCAGGCCTCTTAGGACAGGACTGTTGTCACGCAGCAGGCCAGACTTCACTGACTCACAACACAGAACCCAGGGTGTAAATCAGCGCAGGATTCAACCTGAGATTGGCTAGGACAATGCATCTGAATGCAGAATCTCTGAAAGAATTAGTTTCCAACAGTGAAAGACACAAACATCTTCACAATTTAATTTCTGTTCACAGCAGAAGCCCCACCTCTTACTACATAAGAGAGAGCCCAGGCTGTCTCTGCAACCAGGCACAGAGAGCCGCCTCTTCAGAGAACATGTTTATGGACCATCCTTAGGAGTGGTTCAGGAGAAAAGACAGAGAAGCAATCATTCAGACCCTGATGGGACTATCAGTGACAGGCCTGGTAACAGGAAGAGGTGCCATTGGAACAGCCCTGATCTTTACTGGAGAGCACTGTACCAAAGCCACTGTACTGAACTTGGGTGTCCCTAATCATCTGATTGCCACAAGCTGGGACTGGACAACAGGGGATGGAGCATTTGACAAACTGCCCTGTTCTGTTCATTCCCTCTGATGCATGTGGCATTGGCCACTATCAGAGACAGGATACTGGGCTAGATGGACCATTGGCCTGACTCGGTCTGGCCGTTCTTATGTCCTTATGAACTTCAGATGGATACGGCCAGTTGTGTCCTGACGCAGAACCGGGATCAGGCCACATTAACAGCTCATTCTAATGTGCGAGGCGTGTGCTAAGCATAGCAATAGAGCTTGCGGATACTGATGCAGGTGAGTAACACAACAGGCTGAATGCACCGAGGGGCTTTAAGACAAATGGAAAAGTTGCCACTTCCCAGAATGCAGAATTCCTGGGAGGCTGTGCCTGAGGCAGCGTCTGACTGACACTCTTCCAGTCATTCTATACTTCAGCCCTTTCTAAGCCACTGAGTATCGCGTCGGTTTTTTCTTATTTTTAAAAAATCCACACAATACAATATACCAACCCTGCCATCTGCAGGTCATTTCGCTCTGATGTTGCTGGTCAGAGCTAAGACTCACTCGTGCCTGGATAAAGCAGTGAACATTCAGCAGGGTCAGGACAGCAGCCAAATAAGCAGCTATTGCAGAATAATTCTGGAAGTTGTATTTCACAGAACCTTTGATGAAAGTTAACCACACAACTGATATGACACTGAAACCTCAGCACTGCTTACCGGCTCAGCGTGAACTGCGCTAAGAATTCAGGGCCAGCTTTCCCCTGCCTCCTCTCTATGTGAAGGAATAAACTCACTGGAATATTATTATTTATTCCAGGTGACGGGTATGCGGTCATCTCCTGGCGTATCCCACAGAAACAGGGTACCTCCCAAGGTTCACCTGGCCGTGACTTTGAGGCTGCTGGGTGTGGCCTGTTGCACTCCAGATCTGCTCCCTGTGTAACGAACACATCTCTCTGAAAAACGCTGCAGGGCCTTCGCAGCAGCCCTGAGAGGACGTGGGAGGTGTGTGGTCTGAGCAGCCCAATGGTTTGGTAGTACGAGCTCACACGGAGATGGAAGGGGTCAATTCCTAGCATTGTGGTCCAGTGGGCTCCTGACAAGCTAAGTTTGTGCCTTCTGACCTACTGCCGCATGCCTCTCTCCAGGCAACTGGTGTATCTTGTGTCTTTCTTTAAGACCAGGCTATCAGCTGCAGAACTTGCTTAGCTCCTGTGCACACGCTCTTTCCTGGAGGCCCCAATGCATATTCATTGTCACTTTCTCTAGGCAAGCAGCAGCACCCAGGATCACAGCGGCACTAAGGCCTGATCTACACACCCCTGACCGATGTAGCAAGCCGACATAACCACCAACACAGACACAGCTATGTCTCTGGAAGAGGGATTCCACTGACACAGCTTTGTTCAGTGAGCAGGTATCCCTTCACCAGCCGACAAACGTTGTCAGTGTAGACACATCTATGCCATGGGGCTATGCTGACGTTGCTATGTCGGCATAGTCTCCAGGGTGCAGACATCCCCTAACTGAACTCGGCTGCAGCTGCCAGAGCCCGTCGTGCCACAGATTTCAGGAGATCTTGGCCACCGGTCATGGTGTGTCTCAGACTGAGGCAGCTACCAATCTGCCCACCACTTGGGGCAGGAGAAGGGAGAGCAGGGGACCAGAAAAGAAGTGGAGCAGAGAGCGAGAGGCAGAGTCCATTACTGTGGCCTGATTCTGCAGAAGCTGTCGAGACAGGAGATGTGAAAGGGTTTGAAAGGGAGCAGGAGAGAAGGCAGGATTTCCCTCTTGCGGCCTTGGGAAGCAATGAGCAGGACAGAATAAAATGAAAAAGAAAAGACAAAGGAATGAATGCAAAGACAAAGAAAATGTAAGACGGCCTCCCATTCCCCCATGGAAAATGCCCTCCAGAATCAAACCCTAAAGCCTCCTCTTAAATCACGGGTGGTCCCAGCAATAATTTGCTTCATCCAACAACCATCCCTGAGGTAAAACTCTGCACTTGGAGAGAGAATTTTTCGTCTCTTTTGCTATTTTGAATTCACAAGAATTAAAGCGAAGTCATTTTCCTGGGCTGTCAGCTGCTGCCGTTGTAGGAGGACTCACGACAAGCAGGTGGCTAGAGTTTCCTTCCACAGACCCACGGGGAAAAGGGAACCCCTGGGGGAATCATGTTCTTTTGAAACGCATGAGACTGAAATAGAGCACGTGCCTGTGGGAAATCCCAGCGACAGAGCCAGAATCAACAGCTGCACATTTCTCTGTCCAGGCAGGAGGAGTTCCCAGTGAGGGACAGCTGGGCAGGGGCCATCGCATGTGCAACCACCATGGAGCAAAGGACAGACAGGGGAATCATTTGCTGCTTGTTCTATGTCACCTATTTAGCACAAGTCTAGACAACGCCTCTATTTTTAGTAGTTCTCATTTTGGAGGAGGAAGAGGAATTTGTTGTGGTTGATTTTAATTGAATTTTTAGGCATAACATTTAGCTTGCTTTGGGGCCTTCATTCCCAGGCCTCTAAATATTACCTATGAGCTGTATAGATCATGTTAAAATCTGAAAACACCTGGGTCCCTGCGGGGCAGCAAATACACCAAGGATCTTTGGTGCAGGCCGATTTTAACAGCTTTTAAGTATCCCTCAACAGTAGATCCAAAGAGGGGAAATTAGTTTGTTTCTTCCTTTCAGCTGTCTAAAGGAGTTTAGAGAGTTAATGTTGCTGTAAGTCTATAACATGAAGGAATGTCTGTAACATGTTCACATCTTACGCAGATAAGGAATGTAATCAAAAGGGGTCAGGAAACTAAATTCCAAGGAAAATAATCTGTCAGAGTCAATGGTAGAAAGGAATGTACTGCAGTGGCTGGCTGTGCACTGCTCAGCTTGAGATACATGCGATAGCCGAGACGGAAAATGGCCTGTCAGGGTTCTGCATTCAGGAACAAACTTGGGAGCTGAAGTTTATGAAGTTGCCCGGTCTGGCCATGTCTCTCTGAGACCCCCATCATCTGAGCGGGAGCAGCTCAAGTGAAAGGCAGTTCTCAAAACACACACATTAAACCTCCCAGCATCTTCCCAGGAAATCCCATTTATTCTCCCCCCCCCTTGCAGTCACTCGCTGGCCCCGCACACAGCACCCCTCCCTGCATGCCCCAGCCCATGCTGAGCCATGAGGGAGCATCCCACATGTCTGGTGAAAAAGGGGGGAAGCACTAAAAGAAGAGGACCCCAGCGCTGTTTTTTCTGGTCAATGTGCCCCACATCCTGCCCTGAGTCACACTCACACAACAGACACGACAGACCTCCTGCGGGGTCCCAGAGCCGGGGCTTCAGCCCGAGCCCTGGTGTCTACGCTCATTTTCAGCCCCACAGCCCGAGCCTCACAAGCCGAGTTAGCTGAGCTGGGCCAGCCGGATGTTTAATTGCACTGTAGACCTACCCGAACACGTCTCTCTGCTGCACATGGCAACACCCAGCGTGCACGTGAGAAACGCAGGGCGTCCTAGTGCCCAGCACAGCACCCGCAGCAGGGCAAGGAGAGTGATCTGCTGTAGGCGACGGATGGAGATTTTGTGCATTTGGGAGCAGCTCACCTCTGACAGGGTGCTAATGCTTGAAACCAGCTGCAGGCCAAGACCCAGCGTATGTGCCAGGAGAGTCTCGTTCACTCCTGTCCAAGGGGACCGCCTGGGCTCCCAGATCACTGCCTCAGCTCCCTCGCACAAGCCCGGCCTGGTCACCCTGCCACCCTCACCTTCCCCCCTCTCTCCACTCTCCCTTCGCACCCACAAACCCTCTCACCAACACTGGGAAGCTCATTCCAAAGCAGAGCGGGACAGGCCCCTTCCTAGCAATCCCTTCCCCCAGTGCACATGTTTGCTAGTGGGGTGGCCATGTCGTCTCCTGGCGAGAGGAGGGGGCAGACTCCTGGGGGATCTATTCCTGGCTTGGCCACTTACCAGGAGCCTGATCCAAGGCCCACTGAAGTCGATGGAAAAGCTCCCACAGGTTTCCTGGAGCGTTGTGTGGCCTTGAGCAGAGACTTCACTGATCTGGGCCACGATTGGTCTCATGCTCACCGCAGTAACAGGGCGTGTGGGAAGCTTAATTAGGGCTGGGCTAGACAATTAGGTCAGTGAGAAATCCACCCCCCTGAGCGGATAGTTAAGCCAACCTAAGTCCCCACGTAGACAGTGCTAGCGCCGGCGACAGGAGAATTCTGCCGTCCACCTAGCTACCGCCTCCCGGGAGGTGGATTACCAGCAGAGAGCCCTTCCCCTCGCTCTAGGCAGCGTCTACACTGGCATGCTGCAGCTGCACAGCTAGGCTGCTGCCGCGTTTTATGTGTGGACAAGCCCCTAGTTAGTCCGATTTGCAGATCCCCAGATCAAGGCGCTGTGCACAGCAAGAGGCAGCTGGGGTTAACATGCCATTGACTGAAATGCTGAGCGGAAACGCCCAGGCACTATCACCAGCAATTAATCTCTAATGCCGCAGCACCAGATTAGCCTTTAAGAGCCGCTTTCAAGCCCGAAGAATGTGAGCATGCATTCACTTGTCAGGAAACCCGTGGCGGAAAGAACCAGACTAATGTAAACAGGAAACTTCATACATCATCTGCAGGGCTCCCTCCTCATGGACCTTCCAGCACTGCACTGGGATCAGAGAGAGCCTGCGCCAACGCTGCCTTGCAATGGGAACTGCCTCTCGCCATGGGAGCACCAAGTGGATGTTCGCCCTGACGCAGGGCGGAGGGAGGAGCCGGCTCCCTGCAGGAAGGACACTGAGCCGTAGTCTCCAAGCACAAACTCAAACTAGTTACAAGGAAAAGTGTACGATGGAAGAGACTATTTGGCCCCACTCCAGCCCCTCCACCTCCCCACAGCTATCCTTGCTCCAGGTGATCTTTATCCTGGGAGCTCCGGATGGTGGTGCAGATAAACTCACTCACCTCCCAGCGGGATGGGCACACAAGGGCTCCTGCTGGGCGGGCTGAAAGGGTATTTGCCTCAGGTTCAGAAAGGGGATGCTGTGATGCTGTCACAGAGCGGGAGCATGATACATTATGCACCAAGCAGCAGAAGCTGCGAAGCCCTGCCTAGCCCACCCATCGGATCAGCCAGATACTGAGGGAGATGCCACTCAAAGCCATGGTGAGGGGCTGCAAGCAAACAAATACAGACCAAATATTCCCCAAGACCTCCCGGCCCCCTCTGCTGCAGAGACACTCTGTCTCCTTGCATTTTACCAGTTAGTTGGCTCATCAGTTACATCTGCTGCTTCAAGTCAGTGAACCTGTCAGCTGCAGCAAGTGTGCTGTGAGGCTCATTGGTACCCAGTTACTGTGCTTTGGTGTAAATTACATTGGAACAGGAGGAGAAGCTCACCCGGCTGCCTTAGATGAGGATTCACTTGGCTCTGGGAAAACAACTTTGCCCTTAGCCCTTTCCTTCCCTTTTACATTTTATTCGCCCCAACCCAGTGCTTTAAAAGGAGTGAGTGGGGGCCAGGCAGTTAACTGGCCACTGCTGGGGGCTGATGATCGGTCTGTGTGCTGCACTGTGGGAAGAGCAGGAGGAGGGGAACAGAAGGACGATTGGTCTGCCCTGTGTTTGCAATTTACAGCTATACAAGTTTAATGTTAGAATCTTTCACTGGTTTGGGTCACTGGCCTTAGGAAAAATTCTTGTTCTGGTTCCAAAGCAATTTGACCAATCGACCTATGGGCTAAGCAGCTGCTAAGCACTCACATCTGTCTATCGATGCAGATACTACAGTAGCCGAGTACCTCGCTGCCCAGCTGCCGACCGGAGTCCAGTCTGCAGGGTGGCATTCTGCTGGCTAAGTTCTCCCTGCAGTTTCAGCTGGATGTAGAATTCTTTGCTTTCCAGCCTGAAGCGCCGCGCTGAGCTGGGATGTTAAACAGCTGATACGGGATTCATTTATACGTAGATATAATCTGTGCCGTGCTTTGGAACCCTTCAAGATGGGTGTTACTAGGATTATTACATTTGCGTGCCATATTGGCCAGCTGTTTCTGGAAAGCCTCCTCCAGATAATTACAGAAGTCTTGTGCTTCGCATGACATGCCAGTGGCGGGGAGGAGATGCATGAACATGACTGCACACGGAAAGTATTGCTAAAATACTTCCAAAGCCAAGACCTGGAGGAGGGTGGCTGGTAAAAAACCGAACCCCAGAACACGTTCTTCAAGGTGAGCACACAAACAGCCGGCCCGTTCTCGGGAGGAGACACTGCTCTCTGCAAAGCAAAGGACAAACTAACAATATTGCCAAGGTATTATCAGCTCTACTTACTACGTCGTAACCTGTAGGTGCCCGGTTCCGAGATGCAACCACCCCAACGCCTGTGATAGGATCCATTGGCACGTCTGGCAAGGCATCTGAAAGGTCTCGGACTTCAGGCATTATGGACTGTGCCTGAAACAGGGAGTCAGAGTTAGAGGGCTACACTGCAGACAGCCCCTTAGACAGAAAACCTAGCACGCGCATCCGCAGAGCACCGCGTGTGCTGGAGCACTCACTGCTATGGCCACACACACCGTCCGCATCTTAAAGCGCTCAAGCTTTCAAGCATTTTTAAAGAGGCATTTGCTTTTGATAAGAACTTACATTTGCACCCTCTCTGATAGGTCAGGAATTCAGGCCAACAGCCTCTTCTGAGATTAACTTGATTGTTTCCAGAATGTTTAGCCTGGGCTGGTCCCCATCGAATGCCCATAAGAAAACCTGAGCCCATCACCCAATGAAAGGGCAATCTGACCCCTGTGATTCAACCAGGCCCAGGTGGTCCTGCCGTTCCTGGAGGGAAGGAGGCTACTCTGAATGGCTCTGTTCTAAGGTTCCCCCTTGCAGCTCAGTATCAGACAAGCTGAGGATTGCACTGTGAACCTGCCTCCCTTTCGGGCGTAACGAGACTTGGTTTTCATGGCACTTGGTTCATCACATACCTGGCACTGTACAGCAGCTGGGACAGCGAATGACATGCCTGTTCCACACAGCTGAGACAGCAAGGAGGCGCAAACAGGCCCAGGCCCGGCCTGGAGACTTTCGCACGCACAGCGTAGCTGGGGTTGGAGTGACTTTGCGGAAGGGGGTGGGGTGTGCCAAGAGTCGCGGGGGAGTGGACCCAAGAGCCTCAGGGAGCAGTCAGGGGAGACGCGTGCGCCGGACAGGTCCCAGGAGTAGGTGGGAAGGCTGTGACAGAATTCTAGCCGGGGTGGAGGAGAGGGAGAGGGGGCAGAGTCCAGGCAAGGCTGGGGAACTGAGCCATTGCCTGAGCATGTGGCGTCCTGCCAAGAAAGCCAATTCAGGCAAGTCCTCTCTTGCTTCCAGGTAGGAATGCGCCAGGAAACCACCCCGACGCCAAGAGATGAAAAGGCAGCACTGTGTGCAAAAGAACGTCGTTGCTGGGAAGCCAGACAAGCTGTGCAAAAAGCTACCTCATTCAGTGGCTTTTTCACAGCAATTAAACCCCAACCTCTTCAGGGCTCGTTACTTATTGCTTCTAAAACAGGCAGAGGTGAGTGCTGGTGTGTATACTTCATACTGCCGAGTTGAGCAAACATCACGTTGCAGGCAATAAAAGGTGACTCTGGTGTCCTACATAACAGTGCTACACGTAGAGTCAGCATATCTGTAGCACCCCCACCCGCCAAAACCCCAAGAGTCAGCATCCGTCTATGATGTCAACGAAGCAATTGCCACCAACTTGGTGCCTGCTTCATGCGGGCAGGGGACTGGACTCGATGACCTCTCGAGGGCCCTTCCAGTCCTAGAATCTATGAATCTATTCATCACCTGGACCAATTTATTGAAAATGCAAAGAAACGGAGATGCAGCTCCCTTCATTTTCTAGCCAACTCAAGCTTCTAGGAATCTGGAGACAGGAATCTGCATTTTGAATCCTGGCGTTTTCCCCTTCTATTTCGTATACAGACTCCGCAGCTTCATGCAGTCAGCTCAAGAGAATGAAGGCAGCCCTTAGAATAGAGAGACTGCAGCCCACCCACAGCCAGCAACTCCCAGCAAACATGGTTCTCGTGTTTAGTTATATACAACAACCAACCCAAAACCCAATGCTGTTGCTTGGGGTTCAAAACACTGCAACCTACCAACTTCCCAAAATGCTTTGCAATTAACAATTCATAACGGAAGGCATAAACTGTGCCGTGCTGATGTGAATTAAAATACAGACTATGTAATCTGCATAGAGATGTGTAGATATGTTTACTGATAAACACATTTCCAGGTTGCTCGCAATAGCTTAGTGACCTATTGATGCCCATCAATTTCTTTTGATAGGTAACAAATATTGATGTTAACGGCTCTTAGGCAGGGCGGGTGCAAGGATGTTTCGCGTTCTAGGCAAAACTTCCACCTTGCACCCGCACCCCCCCCCCGAGCCCTGTGGCAGCTCTCCGCCCCCCGCGGTAGCTCTCCCCCCACAGCCCGGGAAGCCGTGCAGCAGCTCCCCGCCTCAGCTCACCTCTGCTCCGCCTCCTCCCTGAGCACGCTGTCGCTGCTCCACTTCTCCCGCCTCCCAGGCTTGCGGCGCCAATCAGCTGTTTGGTGCCGCAAGCCTGGGAGGGAGAGAAGCAGAGCAGGGCGGCGTGCTCAGGGGAGAAGGCAGAGCAGAGGTGAGCTGGGGCGGGAGTTCCCCTGCATGCCGCCCCCCTTACTTGCTGCAGGCGGCCCTCCCCGTGCCCCCCTACCCCAGCTCCCTCTGTCTAAATGCCGACGACGACCAGGGCGGTCGCCGCCGAAGGACCCAAAATGCCACCCCACAAATGCTAGTTTCCTAGGCGACCGCCAATGACACCTAATGGGTTACACCGGCCCTGCTCTTAAGTGAATCCACACTGTCCTTAAAAGAAATAATGATATTCCCCAGTTCACGACAGGACAAGATATCCTCAGAATGGTGGCTGCTATCTAAGCAAAGGGGAAGGGTGTCTATTCCACACAAGTGTTTCCATATTACCAGCTATTGCTGCATCCAAATGCAACAACAAAGGCAGGTCCTGAAGTGGCAGTGCTGACAGGCAGTAGGCGAACAGAGGCTTAGCCCTCAGGTCTGGTGCCAGGCCTTGACATGCTAGAATGCTGGGATGAAAAAGTCTGTGCTTCCTTCCACTTTTGGCAAACACCATCCCAACTCCCTCCAAAGCAGCTACCCCGTATGGGATCGGACATCACTACAGGCGCTCCTCTCCTGGAAGGCTCAGAATGGAGCTGACAATACCTTTTCTTTGAAAACACCCACAACCAGCAAGGCCACAATTTTCATAAGTGACTGGTGATTTGGGGAGGCCTCATTTCCAGCGAGCGCTGAGCAATCACCCTTTGAAAATGGGCAACCATCCCTTTGGGGCAACTCACATTGGATGTCCAAAAATCACTAGCCAGCTTTTGAAAAATTTGCCCCAAGCCATTTCCTCTAGGCAGCTAACAACCAGCTGCCTGTTTGTGCATGTGATTTGCCTGAAGCAGCTTCACCTCCTCAGCCTCTCAAACACGCCAACCCAGGAGTCACTCTGCTGCAAACTATGCCACAGTCCCATCCCGCCTCCTAAGACCAGCTGGCCCCGAGGAGGAGAGCTGGCATGTAATACTGTGCTACAGAGCTGGGGAAAGCCTGCCCGGTCACACTGCACAGGGACAGCATGAGCGATTTAAGCACAGACGGACTTTCCCAAAATGGACACTTTTGCATAAAAACTTCATTTCTTTTCAAACTTTCTTGCTTTTCAATGAAAAACCAGAACATTTCTGTGAACCCTTCTGAAAACGTTTGCCAGTCTCCAGCCAGCGCTATCCCAGAACGAAAGAGTTCAGCCACATGACCATAGCATCCCCTCGCCTCCCCGCAAACTGGCACAACGTTTAGCTTGAGATTTTAAATGCACAGAAGTCAGGAGATGCAGAATACAGTTTGTCATCAGAACCCTCCACACTGATGAGTTCTCTGGCTCATTTCACTCAGCCCCTGTTTCAGTGCCCCTTTTAGAGCAGGGCAGGGAAGGGTCACCACTTCCCCCCAGCCCAGACAGCTCTCTTTCTTTCTATGTCTAGCGGAGTTCCTCAGCATTGTCTAACTGGCTCACACAGAAATGTAGCTCAAGCCGCCTGCAGCACTTTAACCTCAAGAATTACAGGGAGATGCTGGCCCCGGGTGTGTTCATCCCTGCACTGCAGTTTTGGGTTCCCACGGAACTAAGGGCTTAGTGAGAAGCAGCTGCACGGATGGAAGACTGCTGTAGTCTATGAGAGTTAGTGAAAATCATTAACAGAATTTTTTTTAATTGAAAATAAGCCCCTTGTGAGCTGTGAGCGTCTAAGGGGAAGCAAACTTCCCATGCAATTCCAGAGTTACCGGGGCTCCTCGTAATCATGGTTTCTGGTGGAGCTGAACTTTTCTGGTGTGCCTCATGAACAATTTGTGTAGTCTCCTGTGGTGGGGTGGACACCCACTCCTGCCCTGCGGGGTTGAAAAAGCCCTGCAGAGGGCTCAGGCGGGGCAAGGTAAAACCCTGGCTGATTGGGGGAAGTGGCTGCAGCTGGGCCACACCCTAATCAGAGCCCAGATGGCCGGTATAAAGAGGCTGGGAGCCAGGAGCTCAACAGTCTCTCTCTGCCATCAGAGAGAGAAGGGCCTGGCTGCAGGGAGTGAGACAAAGAGTACCTGAGTGGAGTAGGGCTGGGGAGCTCCAGCTTGGAAAGCCCCAGGCTGTGGCCTAGTATTAGGCCAAGGGGTACTGGGGGTTGCAGAGGGCAGCCCAGGGCTAGTCCAAGGCAGCAGGTCCAAACCCCCCTTGCCAGTGATGAGTGGCCTATACTGCAGTCTGCCCCAGGGAGCGGGGCTAGCTGGTGACTGGCAGTGGCCTAGTGCTGAGGCAAGGTGGGGATAGTGGGGGGGGGGGTTTCCCCAGGGCGGGGAGACCCAGATCTGTGGGGTACTGCCAGGGGACAGCATCCCAGCAATAGGGGCATTGGGTCCTGGGAGGGACATGGGCGCCAGAAGAGGGTAGGCGGATCACCGGCCTGCAGAGGGCGCGCCAGACGCTGGACGAGCTGATTCCCTGGGGTAACCAGCAGGAGGCGCCGCAGGGGTGAGTCTGGACTCTTTACATCTCCCTACTCTTCACTCTCAGCCACTGGCTGAAAATACTTGCTGCTTTATTGCACCCAGGATCAAAAATACACTTCTGCTTATTAGTAGCCCTCAAGTCTCCCCACATTGAGTTATTTTGCTATGGACGTTGCCAGCAGCTGCCGGACCCTGAGGAGATCACGGTTTCAGAGAAAACAATGAAGTTCCAGCTTCCTGCGCATGTAAAGGAGGGACCACTTCCTCAAAGGCCCATGTAACGCTGCTGTGTGGTTTCGGTATTGGAGGATGCTTGCCAGGCACGAGGCTCAGCAGTGGGAGCAGGGTAAAGGAGGGTACAGAGAGCTCAGTATGAAGGCAAATGGCTGCAGTCCCACAGCCCAAACCTGACTAGCCAAAGCTATTAGGCCCCTGCGCTGTGTAGCTGGTCTTGGAATCCAATGAAAGCCCAACTCACCCAAATGGGATTGGATGTCATGGGAGCCAGGCACCAACTCTCCCAATGTCATTCTGCTGAGAACCTGGCCTGCGGCTCCACGCCTCATTGGGAAGGGACAGTTCTAAGCATCTGCCTTTGCTGGCCGGCCACAGGAGCCAGGTCCCCAGCAGAGGACAAAACATTGCGGCAGCTGAGGAGCAGAGAACAGGACTTTGAGCTCACTCACTCTTGGGACAGCACAAGCTGGGTGCTCTGTGAAGACAAGATCCCCGGCATCAAGGAGGAGCCCCCTTGATAGCCCCAGGAATGGCCTTCATGGGCTTCGTGAAAGTCCCATCCAGCGCCCTCTGCCTGGGAGCACGCTGGCTCAATGGCAAGGTCGCTGCCTATCTGACTGGCCCCATCAGAGAATCCAAGTGTCTCCCAAGAGAAAAATAACAACCGCATCAAAGGTCCCTGTCCCTCCTCTACCACCAGAGCACAGGGGAACGGTGCACGGCTCAGAGGATCTGCAGGGGAAATCATTCTGGGGAACCTATCCAGATGCCTGGGGGGACTTTGCATAGCGGGAAAGATGCCCAGGGACGCTAAACACCAGTATTTCTCTGGCCTTGTCTCCACTGGGATGTTGGCAGTGTTGCGGCCGCACTGGTACGGACCATGCTGCACTGAACAGAGTCTTGCCAGAGCATCCGTGTGTTGGGTTTTCCTTCAAGACCCATCACCCTAGAAGTTAGCAGCCCGTTGTCTGACTCAAGTGCCAGCCCAGGGGGCTGTCTGCAACCCTTAGAACAAGTCACAGTTCCTGGAGGGAGCCACAGACATAAGCAGGAGCTTCTGGACATACCCTGGGGCGTAGCTCAATAAAAATGCACTTCTCATTCCATTAAGGCTGACACGAATCTGCCCTCAATCTAGGGGGGAAAAGGTGCTTTTGTCAATGAGGTGCCATGTAGCAAAAGCACAAAGCTGTTTTGTGGGTGTCTGACTCACAGCATGGTGGGCAGGAAACAGCATCAATCCTTACTTTGTCACTGCTCAGACAAAGCCCTTTTGTCCTGGTAACAGCAGAGGTTAAGAGCTAAAGTAACAGGCCTTTCTCCTTTGAGATGGCAGGAGCTGGAAGCTGCCGGCCAGGCTGAGTTACACATGTGATACTGTCTCTGGGGGCGAGGGAGACGTGCGCACACACTCAAAGGAAGGCCAGAGCTTGACTCGTATTCCTGGCTGAGCAGCATAGCGTGGCCAGCACGACACATTCCCTTCTAGCCCGGTCCCCTGTGACACCGCCAGTGAGGACATGGCATGGTAACCTGGCAAACAGGCTCCAACAGTTAGTCGGGGGGGGGGGGGGGGAAGCATACCCAAACTGGGCTAGACCTGTGCATAACAATACAGGCTGGATGGAGCAGGACTGCACAGACTCGGGCCCTGGCTCCTCGAGCCAACAGGGACTAGACATGCATTTGGCCGCAAACAGGGCTCCATTGTGCAAGGTGCTGTACAACCAGAGGGATGTGTTGGCTTCACATGAGGCTGAGGGGATCACCTCGGGGAAGGCAGTGATCTCCGAGCTTCCCCTGCCTTTGTGTGGTCTTTCACAGCACCCGTAGGCCCACCATGGGCTGCCAATCAGTGTGTGCTACACTCCCAGCATTCCCTCCATCCCAAGCCCCCTGAAGATCCAGCTGCTCTGGGAAGCATTCCAGCTCTGCAGCCCTCACCCCATCAAGGGCTTGGGCCGCGCCCTCAGACGGCTAGTGCTCTGGGGCAGGATTCGGCTATGACACACTGCGCCATGGACATACGTATGACT